CTCTCTTCCATTCTCGGTTTGTTCATATCTATCTATCTATCTATCTATCTATCTATCTATCTATCTATCTATCTATCTATCTATCTATCTCATACGTTGGCTTTGTGCCAACACTGAATTGAGCTTTGTAAATAATTGCATAAAGAAAACTTTGACCTGACGAGCGCCACTTTACTGTAAAATCAATGATTCTCCGTACAGTGTTTGGTAGATGAAAAATAGATGAAGATTTCGTTCAGGAGATTCTGGAGCAGCTGCTCGGGTGCGTGTTCACGATCCAAAATTTTCATTTAATGGATGTTGTTACATAATTACTTGCTGGGTCAATCGATATTTTAAATTTCTTGGCATTGAAATCCCTGGTAAAATTTGGCTTCGCGCCTCTACAAATATTACAATTAAAACATTGCTCTGCACTACGCATTTCGACCAGAAATCGGAATTTTGTAAAAATAGGGACTTTTCATTGTCGTTCTTAAAAAGTATACATGTGTTAAACTACGATGAAGTTAAATAAGGCAGAGAACGAAAGGAAAACTAAGAAACTGAATGGAAATAATATTTCGATACAAGGATTTCTGCAGAAAAGTCATACAGGAAACAAAGCAAAGTCTATTACATTTCTTTATAATTATATCAACTTTTGAAAAGCTTTTTTTTGTAATATTCAAACGGAAGTTAGGTTTGGTTTTGTTTTACGGCATATCAACCTTTTTTTTCCAGGTAATATTTTTGTTTTGTCAAAAATCTATTTCTGTTAATATTTTTTTCCTCAAAAACTTATAGCTGGTAATATTATTCTTTCAAAAACGTACAGCTGGCAACATTATTTTTTCCAAAACGTATTATCAGAGGCCTTGCTGTTGGACGTAGTTTATCGTCTTACCCTGGACGCGGATGTAGTTTATCGTCATACCCATGACCCGGATGTAGTTTATCGTCATGTCCAGGACGCGGATGTAGTCTGGATGTTAACTATTTGCCCATAGCTGGGACCCTTTCTATTTACACATGGGACCTCGTGTTCAATTCTTGCTATATTCGAATCAAATGGTCATTTAGTGAAATGTTTGACTTTACCAAGAAGCCTCTCCATTTTCAAAGACCACCTATCTGTGGTAGGGGTGGAGTCAAATCGTACGTATCATCGTTCCGTCCCTAACAATTGAGAATGGCGACTTGTGTTTCAGTAAAGAAAGGAAATAAGTACAAAACAAAATATATTTCCTTGCTTTTTGTCTTCTATCAACCATAAATGATAAAAACCTCAACATTTACCAAGAAAAACTAATAACTACACTTCCTATGTTGGTTTAAGACGATTTTTATAAAAATTACAGCTAACGAAACTAACCTGAAAATTAATCTCAAAGTTAAAAATTCAGTTAGAAAATATATTAATAAATAAGACAAAAATACAAAAACAAAAGCCAACACAGCATTGTGGATAAAAGCGATTTTATTACAAGAATTTATAAACTGCATTGGTGTTCTGAAGTTTAGATTTAATAGGCGTATTACTATTAGTAATTATGAGATTGACAGGTTTTAATTTTCAGTAGTATATAGTAAATATTATATAGTATATAGTAAATATTATATAGTATATAGTAAATATTATATAGTATATAGTAAATATTAAACATTAGCTGGTGTCTGAGGGTGAAAAGCATCGTTATCTGATTTGTCACATAGCGTATTTGTTTTGTTTGTAATTTTCGTGAATTTGGTTGCAGTAAAAGATTTTAATGTTTTGTTGTGCTGTATTTTAAAATGTAAGTAGCGTTTAATTTCTATAGGAATAATCTTACTTGGTTATCGATAATGTAGCTGCGTACATTGGTGTTAAATAATTTTTATTTTACATTGGTGTTAAATAATTTTTATTTTACATGATTAGTTAAGAAATATTTTTCGGAAAGAGGAGTTCAGGTGTTTCCGATTTAGAAAGTTTGTTTTTATCATTGCTATCTTTTATTCTCGTGAGAATTCACTTTTATAATTAAGTCAGGATTTCTTGTTAGTAGAAGAAAAACATTGACAAGGACTCCTTCCTTTTGAATTTTGATTCGAAAGTTTTAATGTATAATATTCGAATCATATTAAATGGTAAATATGATTTATTAACGAATTCACTACATTTCCTATAAAAAGTTCAAATTTAAAATAAAGATTGTCTTAAATAATTTTTGTCATTGGGCTAGGGACTTACTGATGAAGGGCGATAAATACAAGGAGGTGTTGAAACGTCTTTGAGTAAACCAAGAAAGACTAAAATATACTCAGAAAAGAATTTTGGTGTTTGATTATTTGTTTATATTTTGAGAAATAAACCAGGATAGGAGTTTTCAGTGCCCTTACATAGGTAGATATTTATGTAGATATTTATGTAGATATAGAATGCGATACTGATACAAAGCTGCCAGTCAACGTAGTTCATATTTAGGAGAGATAAAATGAATCGCTTGCGAAGTTTAGATAAATATCTTCAGTAGATATAGAAAGAGATAGGAAAAAGGTGGTGATAAAATGTTGTTAAACTGAAGAGAGATAAAAGTGATGGCATCAAACAAAATGAGAAGCTCCATACTGACGCAACCGAAAGTTCGTGTGGAGACAATTATTTAATTTTTTGAAATTAACCACGACATCGAATCTAAACCCGGAAACATTAAACAGGACACTTTGTTTTTAAACTCATTATTTTGTTGACACGCTAACTACAGAAACACATTATGTGACAATTTGCGTGTGTGCATCCATTTTGGATTGACATTGAAATAACAAATGCTTATGAGCTGAGGTCACGCCCGAAACTATTTCAGAATTAGATCATTCATAATTTTAAGTGTAGTCGACGTCAGAACATTTTCCAATCCTTAGCTTTCAATACACACCCACGGCTTACGGCCATATCACGCTGAAACACCGGTTACCATACGGTCACCGAAGTTAAGAAACGTTGAATATGGTCAGTACCTAGATGGGGGACTGCTTGGAAATACCAGGTGTTGTAAGCTGGGATGTGCGGGTGGTACAGTCGAATTGAAAATTGGAAAGCAGAGTTCCAGTACCAGTCCGATTATTTAATTAAATTCACTTACTCGCAAATACCATTGGGAAAGGTGTTAATAAACCTTTTCTCGCCCCCAGCTATGGGCTAATTAGTAGAACTTGCATCAGTACATCATTATTATCTCCAAAAAGTTCTTATAAGATAAAAGTATTTTCTAGCTTTGAATAAACTGCAAAGGGTTGGTTTGTTTTGTTTTGTTTTATGGCATATAATCCTCACTGGGTTACTTAATGCCGACAAAATTTATATTGCTGGTAATATATTTTTCTTCAAAGATCTATTCCTGGGAATATTTTGATGGAATCTATAGCTGGTCATATTTTTTTTCAAAGAATGTATAACTGTTTGTATTGCTGGTATTTTTTAAAAGTATTGCTGATAATAAATTTTCCTTCAAAAATTATTGCTGGTAATAATGTTTTATTACAAAGTATTTCTCGTATTAAAACCTATTTTTACACAACTAATTGCCCATAATATTTGCTGGGACCCTAAAAGGTTCTACCACCCCGGGTCAGGGTGGACCTGGGAACACCAGCAATTAAGAGGTAGTTCCATGCTCCTCAAAACCTCCTGATGAGAGGACTTGCTGTTGGACATATTTTATCGTCTTACCCAGGACGCGAATGTAGTTTATTGTCATACCCAGGACGCTGCAAAGGGTTGATAAGCGAATATTTAGGCATCATATTTTTATTCAAACATGTTTCATTGAATAATATAGACATATTGTGTATATTCATTTTTTTATTTAACTGATCATTTCCAGTTGTCTAATCAGTTTCTTGATGTTAAGATGAAATTCATCAAGGACCTGTACCCATGAGATTCCCTTCTATGGCCATCAAAATAACATCTGTGTACAAATTCTTCGGCTATTTTCTCAACAGAAAATGATCTTGTAAAGAAGAAAGATGTAGAAAGTGCCATGAAGATTTGTAGATCTAAAAGGTTAGAAAATATTTTAGGTAGGATAATGAATGTTTTCTTTAGCTTGTAATAAGTTCTATGACTTAGAAAAGGCCTTTGATACCTACCATTCGAAGAATTGCTCTATGGAAAGTTCTTCCTCATCATGGATGTCCCGACCAATTTATATCTCTGGTTCAATCAATGCATGACAATATATCTAGGCGTAGAGTCCACTAAAACATGTGTGGTAAGCTATAATTAGCTAGAAGTATTCATCTGGGAAAACAAATTTTCTTCCGGACAACTGCCAGCGTGAAACAGGGATGCGTACTTTCACCCATATTGTTCAACCTATTTCTAGAGAGAATCATGCAAAAAACTTGAACGATTATGATCCTTCAATCTCTATCGATCGCAGACGATATTGACCTCATAGAAGATAGTAACAGTGAGTTCCAGGACTTGACCAACAAACTTTTTGAAAGAGCAGAAGCATATGGAATACAGGTCAACTACGAGAAATTCAAAGTAATGGTGAATAGCAGCCCAAGCAGTAACACCTATGTGAACATTACCACAAACGGGGATTCATTGGAGGAAGTGTCCAGTTTTAAATATTTAGGAGCAATCTTGTCTAAAAATGGTACCTGCAACTCGGAATCGCACACGGATTGCCAAATTGACAAGAATATGGAGGAGCAAAATCAGATTCCAAACGAAGTACAGAGTGTACAAATTGCTGGTAGTCTCCATCCTCCTATATGGATATGAAACGTGGACACTATTGGCATAAACAGAGAGAACGATCCAAGCGTTTGAGAACAAATGCAGAAGAAAATTCGTTGGCATCTTCTATTGGGAACATAAATCCAATGAGTTTGTTCAGAAAAAGCTGAAAGTATCGTGAGCGATCAGGAACCTAATTTCGACAATGTCAAACGGAGAAAAATGGGTGTGGTTTGGACACATTACAAGGCACGGTAGCCTATATAAGACCATCATGCAAGGCGCCGTTGAAGCGGGGCGTAGGATACGACGCCAACGTAAAAACTGGTTGAATAATGTCAGACGATGAACAGATATGATTATATCAGTATTACAACTGGCTGTCGTTGATAGACCGTTGTGGAGGAGGTTTAGTGTGACTTCTATATTTGGATCCACTCACTACGATTTAAAAAGTTATGGGGATGATAGTCCACTATTATTTCTCTAGCAATTTAGTCTTCATTGACAAAGACTAGTTTAGCCACCTGTTGTATCGACAGCTATTTATATGGTGGAGATTTTCATACGAATGCAATATTCTCCCCCAATTTATTTTGACAATGCAAATTAATTAAACTGTTTTTTCTTGATTTTTTGATACGTCCGATACCAAAGGACTCACTCATTACACTAAATCCAAGTTGATCGTCTTCCACAGAGTTCCGTTCATTCTCTCCACTTGACCACTTCCCTGTGGTTGTACGCAGTAGATCTTCTAGTGGATAGTTCTTTCCGTTGAAAAAAATCTTAACCCTTCCGACATAAAACTAGGTTCTCTATCAGAGTGTATATAACATGGCATACCTAATATGTAAAATAATTTACTATAAAAGTCAATACAATTGTAGTGAGCAGTTCTCTACACGCAAAAACGAAAGGGAAACTACTATATTCATCAAAGATAGTCAATAATTATTTGTTTCCGATTTGAAGGAAGCGGTCCATTGAAATCTGTATTCAGTCTTTCGAAGGGTTGAATGGCTTAGATTCTTGGTTTTTCTACGGTACACACATTGTATTTTTCAGTGATTCTTTTTACTTCCTCTGTTGAGTAGGGCAAATTTCTCGACGTGATAAAATGCACCATTCTTGATTCTCCAAGATGACTGATTTTTATATAATTCCTTAAAGTCAATATTTTCCAAAGAAGCGCTATGTACTCTCATTAACGCAACTGGGTATGCGTTTCTGATGCCTGGTCGATATCTGATATGAGATTTGTAAGTGGAAAGCGATTAATTTTTCTCGTTTTTAGTCTACGTAGCTTATAAAAAATGTCGGATAGGGCTTTTTGGTCCGTGACAAGAATAAAATATTTACCTTTTAGTCAATGATATTCCCTGATTGCTTCGATGATCGCATTAGCGTCTTTCTCTACTGCTGAGTGATTTCGTTCAGAGGAATTTAGAGTTCTGGGCCAGAATGTAACAGGCCTGCCCCCTTGATTTAGCGTCGCAGCTAAGCTGACGTAGCTAGCATCAGTTTCAATTTCAAGGAGTTTTTCCTCGTTCAGAGTGTGTACTACAGCTCTTTATAATTCCCTTTTCAAATATTCAAAGGAATCTTTTATTTTGGCAGGTAAGTGTAATAGATTGTTGTTATTTAGCACGTGGATTTTTAGAGAATATTTTAGGATCCAACGACTGTAGTAAGCAAACATTCTGACGATTCTCTTCTGATCTTTTATATTTACCTGGAAAGGGAGTTTCCGAACAGATTTTATACTTTCAGGGTCTGGTCTAACGCCCCCCTTTATTTACTTCATATTCCAGAAGTTTTAGTTTCATTACTCTGTAGACACATTTATTCTCATTTAAGGTGAGGCCGTACTTTTCAATCAGTTCTTTGAATCTTGCCAAATTAGTGCCATGTTCTCTTTAATTAATACCACAAATGATCACGTCATCTATAAGCGAATGTCCCATTTCAGCCTTCGTTTTCGATTATTTCATTCAAAATTCTTTGAAACGCAGCCACTTCATTTGTGATCCTTTTGAAATTATACAATTTACCACCGACTTCAAAATCCGTGTAATGCCGGTCTACTTTACTTAGGGAAACTTTCAATATCTGTCTATATTTCTAAGATGAGGTATTATGTACATTTTTACATTATTCGGACTATTGTCCTCATCTTTGTCGCCATATTTATTACAACGTTTCGGCCGTTGTACGTTACGGCCTTCTTCAGGTGGTTGGAATGTCGAACTGAACCCTTTATTTCGCTCTCTGGGGTAGACTGTTCTAGTTCCACGTGCCATGTTTAATGGATGTCAGTTATCAGTTATCTCCTGTTAATTTTCCCTCTGAAAGTTCTCCACTGCCTTAGCCGGGTATTGAACTCACACTCTTTGAGTTCTGTCACTGGATCTAACCAACACCTTTATCCACTGTGCCATGTGTCCTTGATAATTTGTGAATCCTCTATGACGAACCCTTTTTTTGTTTCTCGTCCCTAGTTACCACTACTTGCGCTCTCCACGGACATCTGCTGGGCTCAATGATCTTTGACTTCAACAGGCTTTTTATTTCCTTCCTCATAAATGCCACTTCTTCTCTAAAGAATCTTCGGGATTTCGCAGATATTGCTCTACGTTTAAGCGACAGATTTTCAAACTGAGGAGGAGATTAAATCCTCATGGACACAGCTTAGGACACAAAGTTTAAAATAGATAAGGTTTGCTGTCGTCCGTTTATAAACTATTTATCAGTGGTCTAACTTGATAAAGCCATAACTAATTTATCGATATCTTTAACTAATTTTCGAAATTTTTTTTTTTTCGCTCCCGAGGCATTTTATCGTGACTTTCAAAACTCCCAGTAGTTACCGTGGCTATGACGGTAAATGCAGCAAAAAACTTAGCATTCAAATGACAGGCTTTAGAGAAAAAAAACCTTTATTCTAGCAATTGTAGCATCACCTTCTTTGAGTTGGACACACAATTCAATTATGCTTAGGGCCTCCTCAGTAAAAGCACCTTTCTTTTAAAAAGGATTTGCTACCAGCGGATGTCAAACTCTTCGACTTTTAGATTTTCCTGTTTCTAACAGGTTAAGGCATTAGTCCGGGCTTCCGATACTTGATTTCTTGTTTGGGTGGGTAGCAGTAGAATGGGCTTTCATAATTTAGGATAACCGTTTCCACATTTCACGCTTGATTTCCAGCTGCTGTGAGGGTGAGCGTTTTGTTTTCAAGAAGTCTCTGCCGAATAGGATGTGCGGGTAACCCAGAAATAAAGGCATCTCTAATAACATCCTCTTT